CCTTAAATGGTACCTAAATATCTTGATCATAAAAAAAAATATGTTGTTTAAGTATACTTAAATACTTAATAGTTCCAAAACTCAAAAAGTTAATTTAATTTAAACTTTTTAACTGAACTAGTTACTTTTTGATTTTCATTAGGTGACTTAATAAATTTCTTTTTTTAATAATTAAGGAGAAATCAACTAATTATTTTTTCATTTTAAGAAGAAAGTTAAGTTAATTAATTTAATATAATTTCACTATTTTAGTCTATTTACTATTTAGTTATACCTTATGTCGAAAAATATTTACCGTGAATTGTTAAAAATTTTCTATTTTACTAATAAGTTAGGTAAGTACCTAACTATTTTTCTTTTTTTGAAACGAAAAACTTCAATGAAATATATATCATATGGAAATACTGTATAAACTATAAAGTATAAACACTATTGTCTATTATAGTGTATAATTTAGTTTTGGGTTGATAAAAAATAAAAGTACTCTAACGTTGTATAAAAAAATTAACTTTTAACTTAACTGAGTTAACCAAAAATTAAACTAACTTTTAACTTTTTGTTATTGATGTATATTAAGTTACCTTAACTTACTAAAAAAAAATCATTAATTTGACCAGCGTTGCAAAAATTAGAATTTAACAAATTCATTATTAAAGGATAAAATATAGAGGCGTGTTTAGTGAATCACTATGTATTATATGTCTAGACCAATATCACAGATCCAGTGAAGAGTAATTTTTTGGGAAGTTCCGCTCCCTAAAATAATTTTCTAAAAGTTAATCTTGAGTTTAAATTTTCTGGCCTGGTCATTATTACATCTTGTGACTCATGAAATCCAATATAATGACGTTTTTAATTTATAATTATTTTAACCAAACAAACGTAATACGACTAAGACAAACTATTCATATTTAATAAATATTTTGTGTTTTAGTTATAAATTACGACATCGAGTCAAGACGTCATCGTTATGTTATTATTACTATTATTACATACTACTGTATAATTGATTTGAAATATATGATTATAAAATCGATTTATACATTTTTAACCTTGAATATATGTCTCAGCGATTAACTAGGCTAAAACGAAAAAAAGTGAACAGACAGATATTTAGGATGGAGTCAATAAATTAGCTGGTATCCTATAGGGCAGTAATTGTTTAAGACGCGTGTTAGACAATTTTATATCAAACGGTTATTATTTCTGTACAATAATATGATGTTTATTCTTACAGGATTATAATACATGAATGACTATAATATCTTCCTGAGCAATAAAAAGAAAAAACCCAAAACAGTCGTTAGAAAGGTTCTTACAATATAAAGGCATTGATGGGAAATTGGAATGAATAATATTTATTACCTATATGATAACAATTAATGAAAAAGTGCAATAAACCGCATCATTTACCGAGAAAATTGATTGGTCTGAGGCTATACATACTGCATGGTGGCAACCTATAAGTATTTCCAAAGATAAAATCAGTAGCTGGTACTGCAGTATAATGCGATCACGGCTATGGCGAGACGATCGTAACACATTTTACGGATTTCTGACGAAGTCGTACTCACGGAGCTGATGAATGTGGCGGATAAAAATAAGTGTAAAAAATAACAGAAACCAATGGCTAATAATCTGCACGCTCATTATTGTAAGCCACGTAGAACATTATTGGCGTAGAGGTCGTCGTCGTCGAGAGTCCTCGCAAATATTATTATCATTGCGATCGTTATTGGTCATATAACACGTCGTGGAAAATTGAAAACGATATACCATTTTTATAATATAATATCAGAGTCGAGTAACCGCCTAAGAGCAACTATACTGAGGCCCACTAAAGAATATTACAGTTTTGCGCATGCAGACTGTAGGCATTCCCCCACTTTAGTGTATGTCAAATACGTGGTGATGCGCGGAATCGAACGTGTTTTCGTCGGGCGACAGTAATAATACTCTCTCGTGGGCCGCAGTACTATAGGTGCAAAATGTTTCTCACGATGCACCCTAAATATGACGAATGCGAGCACATAACTGATATAACAGACTAAAATACCCAATAGGTACCCCATATAGAGCGAGGGACATTGCAAATGTATTACCGTTCGCACATACTCCAAGGCTGTAAGATTAATGATTATTAATGTAATATCATAAGAGTGTGAGTGTTTATCTTTTATTGCGACAGCCTATGCACGATTACTGCAAATTTTTACCATAAAATTGGGATTTACTGTGCCTGATGAAAACGTTGCTGTGATCCTTTTACCAGCGACAAGACCATAATATTCCACCGACGCAGACACATTAAATTTATATTATTTTCTCTTATTTACGAAATTAATGAGTATTTATACGAGTTATTTAATAAGTTAATATGAGTTTACCAGAAAATCGATAACCGATGAATATCAAAAATTTTGAATTAGGATTGATTATAGGTAGGTATTGAACATACAATTTATAACATTGAACATTATAATGTTGACAGCTGAATTATCTCACAGATCTTCCAAATAATGTTAATAAAATAAATTCATTATTATATTTTATTACCGCTATAGCAATTCCGTAGATTTCAATATTGAGTATATCGCAAGTATTATTAATGTTATAAAATATATTTTTTTCAAAATTTTTCCTTTAGTTATATTACCCGAGATAAACATAACCATTAAACGCGTAGCATCACAAACGTACAACTATATTATTATGTTTACGTACACAGGGGTATATGTGTACCTATTTACCTCTATGGCTCTACATTTCCTATACGGATGTATCACAATATACAGCATCAGGGCGTTTAGGTACTCGACTGATGATTATTGTGTGAGGGAGTGTGTTTGTACGTGTAAATAATATGGCACCTTCTTAAATGTATACACTATATACCTATATTAAAGGTTTACACACAATACGGATATTACAATAATATCGTATCACGGCTCGAAGGGTTGGAAAGGAAAATAAATAACAGCACACTGCACACACACACACTGTTATAATATACTATAAAACTATTATGATAAAAGAGATGAACGGAACATCATCGTAGTCTGAAGTGGACGCCAGGGTACAGAGGTGTACTACCTACACAGGTTATACGTGTCACTGCGCAGTATACAGTGTCGATCGATTCCTTTTATTGGAACGTTAAAACTGACAAGGTGCCTATATACACTATTATAATATATTATACATATAAGTTGTAAATCGGGTTCTATTTGACCTTTTTTTTTCGCAGCCGCCTATTATAGATATATCGTGTTATTCGGCGCGTTAAAATATTGTATTATATTCTTCTTATATCCTGTCCAGAAGAATAAAGATTATATTATATGCGTCACGAAGACGAGAGCGGTTTGCAGGAGTCCTCGGGCGACCGGGGGTGGCAGGGACATTATATTATTATTATCAGACGTTTAGGATCTCCTTGCAGCGGTCGGGACCTATAACCACGTTGGTCGGACCGACAGCACCGGCGCAGACTCTCTGACACACCACACGCCGTTTAAACCCGTCTCTTACCGATCACACATCTATATATATATTTCGTGTATATAAAAACGCCTAACACCGTTGCCGCGTCAAGTTTCGTTTTCTTCGCCATGCGATCCATCGTATATAAATGATAATAATATATCGGAGGAGCCGACGCGTTATAAATATAATGTGTGTGTGTGTGTGGACTAAATTATAATCACGTATACACACCGCACTGCAGTGACAGGTCAGACAAACGGAAGCCCCGCACCGCTGCAGCAGCCCCCCAAAACAATCTCATTGTCCGACACCGCCGGCCGAAGAGCCCGCTGCAAGTACATACATATGGGTACTTATATATACATGTATATTATGTTATACTTGTGTGTGTGTGTGTGTGTGTGTGTTTTTGAGAGCATTATAAAGAACACGTGTTCCGCCGGCCAGTCGTCACGAGCCCGGCGGGTGGTGATGCGCAGTGTATATAGGTACGGCGTTTTTCGTATTATAATATGTGTATATCTATATAATATATTAGTATACGGTGCGTATATTCCGACCTAGCCGACGAAAACGTGGCTTCATCATATTGAAGTCGTCAGAAGTCAGCAGTGCCTATATAGGTACGTATAGGTATAGTATAATATTATACTCTTTGACGGTAAACGCTGCGAACCGTCCGCCGTGGCCACTGCAGTTCATGTCTGATGCACGGCGGTGCAACAGCCATTCATGTCTAACAATGTATAATATAGCCACTGCCGGATTCACTCAAATTATATATAGGTACTTAATACTCGCCGTGTACGCCCTCAAGTAATACGAAGTCGCGAAAGACGTGTGGCGATGACGGGGCGCGTTCATCAATCGTATAGGTTATAATATACTCATATATAGGTAGATTATATACACGATACGCCTATTATATTTATGTGTATATGACGGTATACATATAGTTATAATATTATATACGCGTGCATACCAGGTGCTACGTAGGAGGTCCTTGATCAGCGCACTATTGTCACCGATCGACGTACTTACAAAACGTATAATATAATAAATTATAATATGCATATTATTTGTGTCGATTTTATTGCAACTGGGTACCGGACACGGTGGCTTACACTAGTTTATTACACTCCATAATAGGTAGGTATATAATATGCAGTCGTGGTATATAATAATGTGTCCGCACTACGCCGAAAGGATTTTGCCAAGTGCCCAAGTCAGTTATGCGCGAGAAATTCAATTGTCGTGAACACCGGGAAATATCTCAGGAAATACAAGGAATTTACAAATTATTTTAATACCTATAAAAAGAACGGACCAAGATATGACCAATTGGTGATAAAATACTAAATAGTCCCCTGCTGTACTATATGTAGGTATATATAGGTTTTGGATATTTTAAGACTTATACCATCGTCCATCATCTCTATATACCGTCAAATCTATATGCATAATAGTATTATGTACTTTTAACTGGTCGATGTTTAATTTAAATGATAACTCACTGCGATAAGATGTTTGGATAGATCGTCTAACATAAGTTTTCTTATTGTGTAATTGGATATTAAATGTGTTTCGCTGAACAGTCGCATTTGTTCGAGCGTTACTGAAAAATTGTGCAATGAATCCCGTAGCACAGGCAAAAGTATAAACACCTAGAAAATATAACACCACACATTAAAATTGAAAAAAAAATTGTTTAGTTAATTTAAAACTGTATATTCCATAATATCACATATTTGTTATTATTATTTTGTTGCTCATTATAAATATATTTCATACCCTGTAAATTATTTTTTTTACAATAAGCGAAAGTGATATATTGTCTAGAATTACTCGAGTGAAGAACCCATTCATTGATGGAACTTCATAGCTTATTATTTTAATTTAACAATGTACATAAATAACTTTTTAATTTTTTCTTATGTGCCTTCTGACCTTACCTAACCAATTGAAAGCATAAATAAGCGAGTTGATTTAAATATTATTAATATCGGATAAGCCACTCTAAAATAACTGCCTCAATCTATTATAAACCTTCCATTGAATCGTCAAAATTGGTCTCAAGTATTTTTTGAAAACTGTTAAGCAACTATTAACCCCCCATCCTCATGAGTCTGTGATTAGTCTCAGGTAAAACCATAACCAAACTAAAATCCTGCGTGCTCTACTGCGATTCGGGCCAGTATTTTCCATTTATGTTTTATAGCTGTTACGATCTGTCCGAGGTTCCAAATAATATGTATGCAAAAGTCGGTGACAATGGGTCAAAAACTGTGGATTTGGGTATGTGTTATTTAGATATAACCCGACTAATAATATCTGTACATTAGCTTAATATCTATTATAATCTAGTTATCTATTATTTCCGTTATGCTTCAGTTTAAAATGTTCTCAACTATTGTTAAAATTAATTGAATAAATTTTTAGTATAAACTTCAACCACACACTTTGACTATATATTATAATAGCTATTACTCAATTGTACAATTATAAAGAATAGCTATTAGCTTATAAATGACAACATTTTATACAACTATCTGATCCTCCACTGAGTTTCCCGGGACGAATTAATTGCCCTTGGATTTATACATTCTTAAACCTCAAAATATTATCTGTAACCAGAGGCAACCATTTAAATAAACAAACAAATTAAATTTCCGTGAACCAAAATTAAATTATTGAGCCACTCTATATTGTAGCAACCTCTATAGGGCTTATTAGAGATGTAAGTTATAAACACCCTCAGAGTTCCAAGGAATATATTGATATAATATTTTTTGAAAACATTACAGTAGTTATTGAGTAAAATATAGAGAACAAACAAACAAACAAACATTTAGCTGAACATTTTTCTAGCTTTTTTTTCGTATGGCATAGCGGCCATATTTGGGCACCCGTAGATTTCTGCCATGCCCGGTGAGGGGATGGCGGTCTAGACAATTGCCTGCCCAGATAGCGATGCCACTCGTTGCCGAGATTTGAACCGGCGACGGTGAGCGTTATAACCGACGCCATAGTCAGTTCGGCCACTCCATCCCCCATTTTTCTAACTGATCCTCAAAGTGACTTTTAAAATCCCAGTTGATTTACCCTACTTTAAACTCCATTAAATGTAAAGTACACATATTTTTGACACAGTAGTCAGCAATTAATTAAAGGGGTTTTGAATTAATAATACACAGTACAGTTATTATATTATTATATATTTATATACATTTATTATAAAAATTATTTCATTTTATGAAATCAATGACAATCAATGACAATCAAAAAAATATTCGTTTTTTGTAAGCCAACCAATCCCGATGTAAGCCCTCCTTTAAAATAAAAAAAATTGCCTCAAGTTGAACATCTGCTGGTATAGGATTACCTATATACTAAATTTCAGAACCATTAGGTTGCTAGACTTGGTTGTGCATAATTTACACCCACAAACATTACGTTTTATTTATGCAGATACAGAAACCTATATCCAATCAAAATCACTGTTTTATTATCTGTAACCAATAGCCCTATATATAAACAAAAAGTATTCGATTTTCATTGGCCTAAACAAAATGTATGTGTGAGCCACCCTATATCAACCAATAGGGGTTGAAATACGAAGCAACAAACACTCCCCAAGTCTCAAGGAATCTATTGAAATCTGCACTTCTTTGAAAACGGTCTAGTAATTGTTGAGTCTATAGAGGAAAAGATAGAGGGCAAGAAGAAATATTTATATTTATATAGATTACTAGCTGATCCCGTGCACTTCGTTGACCGTTAAATGTATCAACTTTATATGACTCAAACTTTGTTCAATTCGTGATTTAATATTCGTTGTACGGTGTTCAAAATTTATCTTATCTTTTTCGTTGCCGGAATAAAAATTCTGAATCGATGCAGTACATTGTCAGGTATACGTGCGGTAGATCGCGGACCCCATGCTGTTTGTACGTAAGTGTTCGATTTAAATCTTAAGTATCAAAGTTATACCAAGTTTGTCGTTTTTACTTAATTCCAGCTACGGTTGATTAAAATAATCAATTTATTTAATCCCATTAAATATAATTTATATTTAAAAAGTAAAGCAAATATTTTTTTTTTATTATTATTGTTATTATTATTATAGCTGCAAACCCATGGCAACCATTTATAAACAAAAATTTCCATCTGAAATCTCAAAATTCCCGTTTGAGCACTTCCCGGGGTTGGTCCTCTCCCTTTTTAAATTGGTTTTAACTTGGCCCAAAATACACACAATGTAAAAATTTCATCAAGATCGGTCCAGTAGTTTTTCCGTGAAAGAGTAACAAAGTCACAGACTTTCGCGTTTATAATATTAGTAGGATTATGGAATTAATTCGTGTTTGTGATTAAGAAACGCCATTCGAAATGTTCAAAGTAAATGATAATTTGTGTGAATAAAATCAAAAAGTTTAAATTTTGATAAAATATGATGAATGATCTGATAAATTTTACGATACATAATATCTTCCTTAGACTTAATTAATATTATAAGATAGGTAACATTAAAAAAAAAAAAAAAAAACAATTGCTATATTTTTCATTTTTTGAAACATATTTAGAAAAATAATTCAATACATAATCAATATAAATTCGTTTACGTTTCGTCGTTGCATCAGTCGGCAGTTATTAAGTAGAACAAAAATGGCATTTTGTAAACGATGCGTAACACGCGTTACGACAGCACATATATTATTGTATATTTTACCAACGTATGTTTCGTTGACACTAATTATTAATATGTGGATCATCCCACTAACCTAATCAATTTAATGAGGTAATATTTCAGTTTTTTTTCGTGCACACGCGCGGGCTAAAAAATATGTTTATTATACTCTTTAGCTATTCTGGCACCCGTCACCGTATCGAATATAATATATCACTTTCACGAACTAAGTGGAACAGTAATTTATCTCACGGATTGTTAATAATCGTCGCCCCTAAATAGCTCATCGAAATTGCCACCCAGTATAGTCGCAACGATGTTCCACGTTCCATCCGCAGTAGGTACTGACTCTAATTTATAGACGATATTTTATTAATATATTGTTTTTTATTACTTTGTAATTTAGTGATACCTCGTCGTTGGTAATGATGTCGTTTGGATTTTATTACTTCCTACTGCTTGTTTACAGGTATTTTTATCAGCCTCTGGCCCTCTCATTTAGCCTTTAGGTATATTCCTCAGGGCTGTTGCGATTTAATGAAGTTAAACGCGTTCTTGTCAAAGTAAAATCGAAAGCTATTTTTACGTCGAAAAAATTTCGAAATACACTACTCCTAAACCGGGAGTGTGGTGTTATAATATACTATACTTGTATACCTATGTATTTATGTTATACAACCAAACCAGAAAAGTAATTTTGAAATTAATTTCCCCGTGGTTTTACGCGGTGTATAATGAAAAATAATATATTAGCATTGATGTATAGGGTGTACAGATGTTTACCAGTCGATGGGATTTTGGATATACAAAATATATTTCTAACAATGCATTTATCTTCGGTATAAACATTCTTTTAATGCCCAATATTATTGCATCGTAAACTACTATAGCGGGATAAACCATGTACGCGGATGTTTATGTGATAATGCATCGGATGGCATGTGTTAGGATTTCGTTGGTCTTATTATACTGTTATCAGGTGGCCTTCGTAAGGAAATATTTTTCCGGACTCGAGCTTTGGAATGATCACGTAATTTCAGCTAAGTGGGTGTCAACGAATAAAATATTATACGTATTACTATCCTGCTATATATTATAATTATTATTGATAAATTGTTATATATATTATGTATACAATGCGCCGATTCCCTATAACCATTTAATATCCAGTTGATCGACCAAAAGTGGTTTTGTGTAAAAATGGAAAACACGCAAACACATCACTTAGAATTTAGATACAATATTTATATAATTAATTTCGATTATTAAGGTATCAAAATATCATGTTATTTTTCGATCAGAGTATACCTACCTACCTATATAATAATATTATATAATATAACTGCGTATAATATGTAACGATTTCAATTGATTGTGCTCACCTTGGTGTCCTTGTCAAGCTTTTTGACGTGTTTCTTGTACCAAACCAGCGACTGAGAGGGCAACCACTCGTAATGATAATTTGTTTGCATCATGGTCTTTACCTGTAAACAAGTAAACGTATATTCGTATTGTATTATTTATGTTCGAATACATCGTCAACGCAGTTTCGGAGGGAAAACAAAAAAAACCCTATGTTTTAACACTTAAAACATTGATTTATTGTATTTTATAATACGTTACATGGGTAAATATTTGTTGTTGTTTAAAGATCCATAAAAACGTTGAAACTACGCATTTTAATGATATAATAATATAATATGTTACGTTAAATTTCACATACGAATTTTATTTCAGAAAATGTATAATATGTAAATATATACTCAATCAGAGATCCCAACTGGAATTAAACACCTGTAGAGTGGCAGACGGACAATGTTAATATCATTCATTTCTGAAATTGTTTTCTACTCTGCGCAGATAGTTTCATCGTATTTTTTCAATAACATTGTACAAGAATAGTTATGTGTGAATAGTTATGTCTTAACTCGATGAGAGTTAATAGCAGGTGCACTGAAAATAGCGTAAGTTAAATGATGGTCTGATATGCTGGACTAAATGACTTTGAATGTATCGGTCTAATAGGTCAGTACATAAAATTATTAAATATTTAAAGTTGAATAATACATATAATTGACCTCGGGTGCAATTATTTACAACAGTAATGATATTTCGATTAATGTCATAGTGATGTGTATATAGGTAGGTGCATACTTATTGTTACGATAAATAAATAATTGGAAATCTATAGGTCAAAGCAATAAACGGTTCGATTAGTGATAATGTTTCATATTATCAGAGATTTAATTACCAATAATAAAAACGTATAGATTTTTAAAAATCTTTTATAACAATGGAATTATAATATACATATTATGCCTAATATTTACGCTTTTCAGTCAATGGCTGTAATATACTTACATCCGAATAAAGACGTGCGATTACTTCTCGGTTATTTCGAAAATGGTTTCTAGCTACTTTTAGTTGCGTTCGCACTCTTTTCAGTATTTTGATGTCATTGCTTCTATTTAAGTTTATCGATTCTTCGGTAGGATTGCGGGATTTCGTAGACATGTATAATTCGTTGTTTTTTGCGTTCGCGGCTATCTAAACAAAATGCAAGTGTTAAACAGTGTACAGGTGGTGAGGGAAGAAGTATTCCAAAACAACATAAGAATTGATACTCACTAGAATATGACCACAGTGTCTTATGGTTAACGAGGTAATGGGCATGGCCGTGAAGTCTAAATCGTTATCTCTTGCAGCCGCTGGCATTGCTAAACAGACCAATAGCAAAAGTGATACTCTAGTTTTAAGTTTTCGACCTATTTTACGACTGGCTAGAATACAAATAAAATTTTAAATTATTTTTTATGACGAATTAAACGATGTTAAAAACTAAAAACTAGAAAGTTGTATACCATCCACATAGACCCGCGTATCAAAAATATTCGATGCAAATCGTTTAATGAAACAAGCCATTGAATCATTATAGTTGAACTCGAATATTATCAATTAATAATACTCAAGGTATTTTTCGTTATATAACATTTGTACAAGATAATAAATAGATTAGATTAAAACTTTCATAATATATCTATAACAATGTAGAATACGTAACTATTTAAATATACAAATTCAAAATTTATAAGTGTCATTTATTTATATATGTATTCGTATTTACTGACTCATATTTAGTTTGAAATCTGATTTTCAAGATTTAATTATACAAATGTTAAGTTCATGTTAAATTCATTAACAAAAACGTGTTTTAATTCAATTTTGCCTGGAAAAAAACCTAACAATAGATATATATTATGTGAAAATAATTGAAGGAAAAAAATTGTTCGATAAAAAGTTTTTTATTTTTGAAATCCACATTCTTTGCTATGGCTCACCGACACACACACACACATATATTATGTACTAAATGTGTGCGTGTGTGTATAGTGCGTATGTCAGTATTGTGTCTGCTCGTTTATTTATAGGTGTTGATTTGTCTACACGCGAGTGTAACCGTGAAGTATACTATTATTATAATATACACCCACAATAGTACACACGTAATACCATACTACAAAGTAGTGCAGGGACATTAAACCGGAGACGATAGGCGGGTTTACGATCTAAAACGGAATCTTAAAAAGCGATAATAATGTATGATATTCGGTAAAAAAAAAACAAAAAAACAAAAAAACGACTGCGTTATAGCTTCGACAATTATATACGTCGGACGCACACACCGTTGTAACAAAAAGTCAGAAACACGCAGGACCCCTCGGAGACGACCCCGAATGTGAGGCCCCGTAAACCAACCCCCTCGATATAACGATGACGTTATTATGTTGCAGTGAGATAATATGCAGATAATACTGTTTATTCACGTGTTAAAATGTAAAAGGTCGTATATTATAATTCATCCTGTTTTGTACCGTATTTCGAATATGACGATTAGGATATGGTACAATAATTGTGACACAGCTCATTCGTAGGTCTATAACCTACCTATAGGGTGGTACAGACTACAGACTATACGGACGAACAGATGCATGGGGACTAACACGTTTATGAACTGATTGTTTCGTACTATCGTTACAATAATATTAAAACTATATTATTGTTATTATTTGGTCTATGATTATTATTGGCTCCGTACAAAATCTCCGACAATTATTTTAACATAAAACGTTTGTTTCATATCGATAAACACAGAGGGCTACAAGGATCAGGAATTTTTTTTATTTAGGTACTTAATACTGAAGTCATTACAACAGTTCTAATAAAATCTAATTCCAAACTTGTAGTTGATTACTATATAGGCAATTATAGGTAAATACAAGACATTAGTATTTAAAGTATTAAAAGTGTTTTGCAGCAAAATGCTGGTGCACGGCATCGTTTGTCTTAACTTTGGATTTCCTGATAAAAGTATCATACCTTACACATATATATTATTAGTCGCTTAAAATTCTATACAGTCTATACGCCACCAAACACCCATACCTACTCTGTACAATTAACCCATCGTCATTATATAATATGAAGAGTGTTAAAATTGTAATACTTCATAATGAATTATTGTTTTTTATTTTTTAGTTTCGAAGTAGATACTTATAGTTTAATAATATTGCCGATCGTTAATATTGTTAAAGGTAGCCTACTGGTTTTAAACCATAAAGCATTGTGATTTATGACATTATTAAGTATTATGATAATAATAATCTTATAATATTATAAGACTACACTATCAAATTACACTTTTGAAAGGCTATTTAGGTAAAACAATTAATAAATTAAGGGACAACGACGGTTGTAGTACATAATATAGTATTACACATATTATCATTTATCATAACAAATAAATACATCACACGAGAGTGCGAGACGCGAAAACGTGGCACACACCGGAGTCACCCGAGTCTTGTCAATGACTGTGCCGCACTGCCGCCGATCGAACCGAGTCTAGATATTATGCCGGACGGATGAACACGTGTGACGCTGAGAAGGCGGTGACGCGACGGTTTATTCGAAAAATGTATCGACCGCAGTGATAATAATAATTATAATTTATGAGTATGGTATCGGTTGCATAGATAACACAGATGGGATTTGAAGTTATATAATTAAAACAGTTGTACCTATGTACAGTAAATTATTGTATTTATCAATAATATTGTTATCGTAGTGATATTATTGCTGCGCGACCGACGGTAAAAGTCAAAACAATGTCCGTTATAATAATATACGGTGATCATTGACTATACTATACTTTCGTTTTTGCCGGTACATAGATCACATCCCGAAATCCGGTAGGTATCCACGAAAAACGTAATCACGATCAATACACGTCGGTGGTGGTATTATACATAATATTATAAAACTGCAACTTGTACACTAAACCCGTCGTACTATAAATTGTGACGGCTTATAAAATAAAGCGTAAAATGCGGACGTGTGACGCGCCCGCCCTCGCTCGATGAATAATGGTCGATCGCCTTCCCGCCGAGGCGCGAGACCGTCGGACGAAGCTACAATATTTTCCGGTACTATACGTCCAATTAATTATTTCGGCCGGCCATCAACTGCCTATGTTCAATAATAATATTATTATGTACACGTATAGAGATCCGCGGTATCAGCTGCCGCGGGACACCCGCAGCGACCCTCGAGTCACGACCAATTTTGACAATAATAATAATAGTAATAAAATAGTAGTAATTATAAATTATATATTATTATGACATGTGTGTATTTCGTTTTGTTTTTGAGGCGGCTTCTCGGATCAGATCGTAACCGAAAACGTTACCTTATTACTATTTATGTATATTATTAAATCTGCATAATATACGTTAATGTTCCAAAATCAAGGTCCATTGCTTTCCTCGCTGCTGACTGTCGACTCACGGTGGTATATTACGATAATACGCAAACCATCAAAATATAATATTTTGGAAGGGGGGAGGGTTGAGCTCGATCGGATGTATCGTATTTAAAAAATAAAATAAAGCTTACTAAGATAAGGCTTATTCTATATAACATTATTTTATAATTGATACATATCATGTGAATCAAAGTGAAAACCTAATAATTATAATAGCGATAAGACTATAGAAAATAAATTATTATTTTTCAAACATTTTGTCTCGTATAGGAAATGAATAAAAGTTGAGAAAAATAAATGTATTATCAAAAGCGTTAATACTTTTCAACATATTATTACTGTTAAGATAACCTGTACCACCTGTACCTCTGTCAAAGACCCACCGCTTACGATATATCTCCTTGAGGAGAGTTTCCTACACATATATATATCGCCGTACTTCCGGGGTTTGTATAGTGTGTGATTTTTTTTTTTTTACCTCAATACACTTTATACGTTTAATGTCTATAACCCACTCATATACGCTTGACTAACAACTGTGTGAGTACGAAAACGAGGAAAACATTGGAAACGGATTTTTGTTACGTTATTTTATAGTCTCGCATTATGACGTTAGACACATAAAAGCACACGGATCAGTCATTCGTTTTACATAGAAAACAGTGACTTTATTTTTATAGTATTTCAATATTGAAATTTTAAAACGCAATACTCGTTTATTCGATAAACATTAGTTTTTAGAAAAAATGTCAAAGTTGATAACTACTATAAACGTGAGTAAAATACGCATATAACGTGAGGTTCAGTATAACTATATCTATGTCGTTTTTCTATGTTCAAATATTTTAATTATATTAGGTAAGTACCTACCTATATTATATTTTTCTAATTTATTCAAAAGGGATATTACTTATACAATTTGGTTGATTTATTAAGATATTATTTTCTTAACATGAGAAACAACATTCTCCTTTAAATTAACCTACGCAGTAATCTATCATAGGATTTAGAATTACTTTCATATTATTATTATTATTATTATACCATGTTTTGTAATATTATGATGTCTGCAATGTTTTATGTATATTGAATACTGTTAATCAAAGTTCAAAATAGCTTAAACACTTAAATTTTAAATTTAGAAGATGTGTAGAATTTTACTATAAATCATAGAGGCAACTTTACTTTTAAAATAAACTCCGTGGTAAATTTCTGTTAAAAGAAAATGTTTAAAAAATCATGCACGTTTTACTTAATTTACTTTAATTATTAAGTATGGTTTTAACTATTACAACTACAAAATCTATAATTATAATATACTTAACGAAATGTTCAAAAAAAAGACTTTATTTTGGGTAAATTACAATCTATACAAAGTGTACAATAAGTAAATGTTATATAAGTGACAAATACAACGTGAATACCGAGATTAGGGAGGATACCCAGTGGTAACACCCTATAACAGTTAAAAATCTATATAAAAAAATAAGATAATATATAATATTATATTATAAATAGGGACCGGATTTATATGCAAATGCATATATGTATTGGAATAAGCTTTTTGAAATCTCATGAAAATTTTCCCCGATTTCGATCACTCTTATTAAAATAACACCAATTTTATTTTGCATATTTTGCATATTTCAACATTTTTACCTATTAAATACATATTGAATGCATATTTGCAGTTTTAAAGTGCATATTATTATTTATAACACATATATTCGTTTTTCGTCGTATTTTCACGTTCACAGACACATAAAATCGATAAAATTGACAATGCAAAAACCACATTAAAATTATCAAAAAACAAAATTGGTGGTATTATAAATGCCAAACTTACAACTGTACTAAGAAAAAACCCTGGATATAAAATAATGAAGACAATATCTAAGATTTTGGAAGGAGAAATAGACGGAAACTATGAACTACCTGAAGATTTAAATGCAAGTGATA